TGCCTATTTTTCCTTACATCCCTCCACTTGCATTGTCTGTCCTTCCAGCAGCCCCAAAATGTCTTGGAACTGGAACCAGCCATGCTGCCCAGGTGGCCCGATTTTGCACACTGGCATCATGGTACTCTGTCTAATGCCATGTTACAGAATTCAACGTTACAGTTCCTCTCTCTTTTCTTTGCTGGCAAAACTGTCATTGCAATCATAAACTGCACTGCAGTAAGGACTATAGAGCTCTAATTTACTTCATTTTCTCTCATTAAATAAAAGCACCTTTCTGCTCGCAGGCATTCTAATTTACCTTCCATCCTCCAAAAGAAACAGTTCAAACAAATACATTCCATCAGCTAATTAAGTGCATGTAATCAAACGCAAAGCTCCAACAATACATCAGACTCAGTCCTCCAAGGTTGTTCCAAAGCACCAGATAATGAACTGGGCATAACATGAAAGTCAAAACAAACCTATTTTAGGTATGACTAAAAAGGCCCTGCAACACACATGGAGTATCTCCTATTCATGTATAAATAGGTACATCACATTCCAGTGCCTCTTAGCAGATTACTTCTACAGTAGGGCACAAAAATAGCAGTTGTAGAGTACTAAAAATAGTGGTACTTTGCACTAGGCTTGTAACAAAGCCTGTAGCACACTCTATGTCTAAATACACAGTATTTCAAACATTATCTGAAACTTGTGATAGGTCAGGAGGGGGTGCTCGAGTACTGAATTTCATACTGCAGTGTGGCATAGCCTAACTTCCAGAAGATGCTCTTCCTACACCAGATTTTGGAGTAAACATTTCTGTCTCCACACTGTAATTCCCTCAACAAGCCTTCAGCGGCTTGAACCTTTCTTGGAGATTTCTCACTTGAATCATATAACCAGATCATGTTCTTAGCAATAATGGCAACATTTTCAAAATAAGGTACCACTATAGCAAATCCAAGTCTGTGATTTGGAAAGTCTTGGTAAATGATACACAGAATCATATTTAAAAAGGAAGTTTTCCACCTATTGATTTTGTATTGTGCTGGAAAGCATTCTTTTCAAAACCTCTATTCCACCCTAACATTGTCACAGCTTCCCATTATCTAAGCACCAAGTAGTAGCAACAGTTTACATGGTATAATCATCACACCCAGAGATGTTTGATCACTAATGTTAGGCACTTCATATATCAAGTGTGCGCCTTTAAGTCAGAAGATGACTGAACAGTGCTACCAGCAGGCTTGGATAGTTAATCACCTCTTTATGACAGGAGACAGATCAGGAATGATGCTGGATTGCTTTTATAGAGCTCTTGAGAACTACGACCTGGAAGGCTGATATAGGTTCTAAAACAAAAACTTTTACTTCTGTGGTCTTTACAGATCTCTATTCATCCCTCTTGATAACAAGCATAAAAGCAAAAATTTCTAATCTTACAGGCAGAAGGTGACATGGAAGCCACAAAACACGATCACTTCAAAAGGGACATAATACTTGCTTCACTTGCAGTTATGAGCTACTATTGGACATCTGACAGAAGAAAGTTATTAAAAAAAAGTAGTAGGATTTATATGTTTTATTATCACCTGCTGAATTACTACATTCCTTACAACTATAAATTTCCATAGTGTCATGGTTTGAGATAGCCCCAAAATCCAATTCCCTAGCTCCATTCCCCCTCCCACATCTCAACCTAATGTGAGATGGGTTTTTTTCCAGACAAAACACACCAGACTCAAAGTGGGGGGAAAGGGAATATATTACAATGACTGTACAAATAAATACCATATCACATTATACACATGATCACAACTATCTCTACCATGACATATGTATTTACAATGATCAGATCTCTTCTCCCCTCCAAATAAAAGTCCAGGAGGGAAAGAAGGACAGATCCCTTCCAGTCTCTGAACAGCAGCATCTTCTGAGGCAGCAGTCTGTCTGTCTTCTCCACATGCAGCAGCAGCTTTGGCTGGTTTTCTGCCAGCACTCACGAGGGAGGTATCCAACCTCTCTCGGCCCCATCGCCTCCAACCGAGGGGTCTTCCGTGGGCTTCGTAACCCCAGACAAGGTCGTATCACCACGTCATATCACGAAGACACAGGGGGGTCTTCGTGACGGTCTGGTATCTCCAGGAGACTCAGCTCCTTGCAGGGCCTCTGTGCCCTGTCTCTCAGGCTGCCACCGTGGCAGCAGTGCAAGGGGGGGGAGAGCCAAGGTCAACTCCCCCCGCATTCCTCTGGCCGTCCCGGTCCAGCTCCGGGACGCTCTGAGCTTCTCAGCTCCTCTCTCTCTCCAGTGCTGCATGTCTAAAACTCTTCTCCTAAATAGGAGTCCATCTCCCTCTTTTCTCAGAGGGATCTCAAAGGAGTTTTGGGGGGCTGGTACAGTCTTACCCCCAGAACTCTGTCTCTCAGGCTGCTGGCTCTCTTTCTCCTGACTCTCCTTCCAGGAGTCCTTTCTCTGGTGCTGCATGTTGCTTCTGCTGCTCCTTCAGTTCAGGTTCTTATCTCTGGCTCTCTGCCACCGTTTCTCTGGTCAGTGCCGGCTGCTGCTCTGTGCCCATGGAGAAAACATCTCCCGGCATAACTACAGGCACCCAGCCCAGCTTTATGCTGTTCCAGGTCCCCGCAGCCCCCCAACCAGGGGCTGGGAGGGCCGCAGAGGGCCCGAGGGGCTCAGAGCCCCTTCCTCGTGGCTCTACAACATGGCCACCTCTCCTACAACCAAACTACAACTCATCTCTTCTGGTGAGCTTGTGGAATGTTGACATTTTTGCAGGAGCGCCCATTGGGCAGAACTCTAAAACTTCCAGGGGTTTCCACCCCTTGGGGTCTACCACTTTTCTTAGCCTCTGGGGGAAAACAAGGTTCAAACCACGACACATAGGTAAAAATAAGCAAAGGAATCTGATTTACTAGAATGACTTAACTTATGCAATACCTGCCATTTTTCATCCAGTCAAAAAAACACAGTCAAACCCCCTTTCTAATGCATTCAATGCAATGCAATGACCCAGGTCTAACACCTTCTTCCATCTAAAGATTCTGAAGTGTACTTCGAGCTAATTAATTCAGCACTGACACACTTCTACTGAACAAAGAAAGTATTCTAAGTCCTGATATAAAATTAGAGAGTATTAGAGTGACTTACTACATTGTCCTAGTTAGGACAGCTGAGACCAGTTCATCATGGTATGGGTGTAACCCAAAACTCTGTATTCTATAGCCTTCCATGCCATTTCCCAGAAATTGTTAGCAGTAGAGGCCTGCAGATAGGAAGATGTTCCCGTCCTCATACCCTTTTATGGAATTCCCCACTCTGAGGGAAGGACTGAGCATTCCTGTCTGAACTGGAGAATATATAAACTTGGAGTTTTGGAACCTTTTTACCACTTGTGGGATCCAGAGGAAGACTGCAGATCACCACTCTCAACCAGACTGAGACCACCACCCTCAACTGGACTGCAGTCACCACTTTTGACCAGACTGCAACAGCACTCTCACCAACTCTTTTTCCTTTGGACTCAGGGGGCCCAAGGAACACCACTTTGTTCATGCCCCAAGGTGCTGGGTTATATATTTGGGTTTTGTGGGTTAAAACCAATTGTTTGTCTGTATAATTGTACTTATTGTATTATTTTATTAAATTGTTATTCTGATTTATAATCTCTCTTTTGAGTTGAGTTCATTTCCCCTGCTGGTTAACTTTTAAGCCAGCACATTATCTGAGAAATGGCCCTATAAAGCAGCCTCTAGGTCTCCCAGGCTTATACCATAAACGTACAACTGCCATCTGTCCATCCTCTTTGGAAATTAGGCAGCAAATCAAACATAACAAAGCAAACATATCAAAAGTCAGAAGATCTTAGTGAATCAAAGGATCTCCTTGGTGATACAAATGAAACTTGGGATAAATGAAACGCAAAATCTCCTCTGGCTCAACAGTTTTACTGGGCACACCAAAACAAACCAAAAGCATTACATGTTTGTTACTGGATAATATATACCGTCTCATAACATTCTTCTATTTATCCTCTCTTGTATTTCATCCAGAAATACTGATCTGTAACATGGGTTAGTATGATTTACAGCATGGTTCAGGCAATACTAGTCCTTCCTAGATATCTAGCCTTGATGAGGATTGAGATGTGTAAGAGTTGAATCCTTGTAAGGAAAATGCCATGCTAATAGAAAGACATAACAGCTCAGAAAACTTATTAAATGACTCTTAGCTGAATAAGAAGAGTATCATCTCCTTAATATTGAACAAAGCAGATGAACAATTATGGAAAATGTTACTTCTCGTGGACTGATGCATTTACTTTTAACTCCTCAATCCAGTAATCTAAAGCAATTGTTGAAAATATTGCTTCAATAAAAATGGAGGGTTTTCTTTAGCCTTTATCTTTAAAAATAAATGTAAGATTTGCAGAGAGAAAAACAGAAGGAGAAGCACAATCTTCCCCAGGTCCGATGTAGAAGTATACAATAAGAGAAAAGTACTAACACTCATGTCTGCCTGTTTTCTTGAAAAAAGGAGACAAAACAAGCCATGAACACAAAATCTTGATTTTAAAAGACTATCACTATTTTTAAAAGACTATCACTATTTTTAAAAGACTATCACTATTTTTGTCAATGTTCACTCTTCTTCTCTAGAAGAATTTCTTTTTATTAGTTCCGTAAGTAAAGTAGGCAGTATACAACAAAGAAAGAATACATGTTCTGAACTCTTGCAGTCATCTCAGTGTTTCTCAGATCAGTTTTTCCCTGCTTTCACATTCAGAGCAGCAGCATGGTGAAATGCAGTTATCCAGACCACAGATGTGCTGACTAAAACCCCTGATCGGTGGGAACTAAACCAGCCTTAGTCTCCTTACAGACATAACTGATCTCAAAAATCAAAGATCAGATCACTGCTGACAAGCAAATCCCAAACTTTTGCTCCTTAATCATTCCTGTTTATTTGGATTCTTACACATTATACAAAGCAATAGAGAAACTTAAGCATCGAAAAGTGAATTTTATTATGAAAATATCCATTACATACATCGGTATGACTGTTAATGTCAGAAGCTCTGCCTGAACTCCTGATCCTACTTTGACATAGTCTTCTATACAGTTACATTTATTGATTTACTGTTTGAAACTGACAAGCTTTCTCTGGTGAAACTATGGTATTTTTCTCTGCAGAAAAAATTCCCCTACTCACATAGGGGGTTCAAAAGCCTTTTCTGTAACTAAACAGTGGTGATACATTCAATTACTTAAACCCTTATCACGTTTCCTGTAACATTCTTGCCAGTATCAGTAGAACAGACTTAGTTTGTAACACTTGATTCTGGGGCAGATGAAGCCTATGGAAAAAAAAAAAAAAGGAAAAAAAAAAAAAGGAGAGACAGAGACTTGCTTCAGAGTAATTCACTGTATCTCATCCAAATGTAGTGGAAGTGAGTTTATGACACCATTAAAACTTTGGAACATTGTTTATTTATGAAAATAACAACTACATAAGAGCATTTAACATTTCTTTATATGTACCATTTCATAGTTGCTTCATTAATGCAAAAATATACTATACCAACATAGCACAATTTTGGTTATCTATTAACTAAACTTAGAATACCTACATTATTACTAGAAATATCGAACTTAGAGAAGGGAAATAATACTTTTGCTGCTGGGGTGCTCAGGTTCCCCAGGTATATCTGAACCCAGACAGTGATAAGTGTGATTTGTGTGTAGCAAAGGAGACACAGCTCCCATATCAGTGGGGAAAATACCAGAAAGGGTGTACTGACAGGCTACATAAATTGTGAACGTTAAATTAGTCTCCTGGTGTTTCTGGAGTGGATCACTCATTCCTTTGATTAAATTATATTATGTAAATGAATTATATTACGCAAATGATGGCTTTTCAAAGTAGCAATTTCTAAGTTGCCCATGATTTACTCATCAGTGCAGCAGCAATTCTAAATCTTTGCACTAGGGAAGGAGTAGAGCTACAACTTCTTCTAAGAAAGCTACTTAACTGACAGCCTCATTAGTGACATGAAGAACTGAGCGAAAGGAAGATGAAATTACTCTTTTACCATTGCTGATACATCTTTTAGGCCAAAGATGACACATGTAACTTCTTCAATATGAGAAGAATAATTTCATTATAAAGATTGGTACAGAACACATTTTGTACACCAAGACCCTCTAATCTCAGATTTGGCACTAGAGAACACAAAAAATGCAACAAAATTTAAAACAAAGTGTAAGCTGAAGCTTTCTAGAATAGAATATGTAAACAGCTAAAAACTCACTTTTGCTGTCCATGTTCTCCTCTACTAAGCTCAATAATCTTAAAATTGACTGTCATGACAATTTAAAAAAAAAAAAAAATTTCCCTCTTGCATAGTAAGAGTTCATGTGTTCAGAAAATACTGAAACTGAAGTTTGCAGATAGCTTCTCAACTGTGGCATTTATTTGAACAATACATAATCGATGTGTAAACAGCTTCATCTCTTCAAACTAGCTGGAAAGTAGCTGCCTCTGTATATTGTCAGACAAGTTTATTAAGCTGTTGTCCATTGAAGAGAATACAGAAGAAAGCCACACACTAACATGCTCGGATCCTGCAACAGGACTTACTTAGAAACAAGGCATTCTTGATAAAAATAAATACTACATGCAATGACATTTTTTAAAAGTCTAAAATTAAACAATTGAAAGTATGATTCTCATACATAAAAAAATCCCCTTTTGTGCTTTTAGTTTTCAATATAATTTCAATTACACTTTTCAACATATAAAAATAAACCTAAAGTACAAGCTGAAAGCTTCTGTTCTGTTTACATATTAGCAAACAAAATTAAATTTTAGATTCTCTTTAGGCACTAACACTTAACGATATCTACATATTTCAACTCTTCACACTCCAATCTCTAGTGAGAAAACTGCATCTCTCTGAACTAAGTGCCTACTGATTGACATGATTTTAGCCATTTACAGATCTCAGCATTTATGCCACTAATCAAATTTTCACGTTTAAACTTAGGATAACACCAAAGGCAACAACTGATTGCTATAAAATGGAAAATACAAGTGGCAAGTGGGACCCATAATATGACCCAGTTCATTATTCAGAATTCACATCCTAAAGACCGTTTTACCATTATGATGCAATTATCATACTTTGGATTCTTTTCCCCCCCCTCTAAAAGTACATGAACTCCAAATCTTCTTTCATTACAAACCAACAAAAAGACAGTGATGCAAATGCTTCAGACTTTAAAATAGACAATACACACATCACTATGACATTACTGCTTGCAATGGTCATACACATGAATGAAAAAATTGAGTAATAAGGACAGGTAAGAACTATACAATAATTTATAACTTACAAAGCAGCCTTCACTTATCTCTTTCTTAGACCAAAAGAAAATCCCCACTTTAGTTACTATCACAAAGTATCAGTACAAGCTAAGCGCAACAAAGAGAAGCTACGCTGTAACAGACCTGCAGGGTTTCAAAGTAATTTCAGGTACAGCCTTAGATGTAACTGGGCCAGAGAACAGTAGCAAGCAATACAAAGCATACTACAGACTACAGAATTTTCCTCCCTTGCAGCAGAGTAAAATATCCAAGTGTCCACAGCTCATTTCAGAATCCAAGCTGTGCATAGGTTGCTGCTGTCAGCTAGCTAATGTAAGGCTAGTTCAGATGTATCTATTTTGATGTGCCATCAAAACAAATTAGCAGGTGATTAATGAGTAGGCAGAACCCACATCTCATCAATTTCCCAGGTATTCTTCAGATATTTCTAGTTTCTAACCCAGTGCTTTTATCCCTACTTCTAGTTCTGAAATATGAAAAAAACCAGCATTCTTAACATACCACACTATCAGTGTTTGCGAACAAAATTCCATCCCTCACATCTGTGTAAATCCATTGACTGAAGAATTTATCTAAGCCACAGCCACCTCTATCTTGAGCTTGAAATCCTGTTTCATCCACCAGCAGTTTTCTTCTGCTATCTTCTTAATCCAAAAGCCATGTCTGTTATCTAGAAACACTGCTGGGAAGTAACTGTGGGCACTAATGGAAGCTTATGCATATGTGCTTTACATGGTCTTTACAAAATGGCACCGCATCATCACTCTTCTGAGCAATTAAAATTTGAAGTAAAGGCTGATTCAGATGAAATTACATGTAAAGCAACAGAGCTACTGTGAACTACACTGTTTTGAAAACCTCCACTCGATTTAATCCCATTTATAAAGCAGAAACCCAGGTGATCCGACATGGCAGCTCAGCATGCAACCTTGTTAATAATGAGGCAATGGACTTCCCATGGAAGATGGACACATTCAGTGGATAATGTGCGCAATCCTGTAGGAGCAAGCGGGAACTTAATTACTGTGCTACACTACCAGTTTAAAAATTAACTACCCTCTGCTGAGATACACATTTTATGGAGTAATAGTTCTCTAGTAGTGGCTTTTTAGGAAGAGAGGAACCATAAAACATCCTATACAAATAGGCAAAACTTAACTTCCTCACAGATGCGCACAGTATTTACAAAGTAAAATCAAAAAACAAAGTATTCGGAAGAAAATATGACTTGAGGTGGGGAGGAAATTGTGTGTGTTTGGTGGTTGGTTGCTTTGGTTGTTTGTTTCTTTCCTTTTTTAAAAAACAAACAAACAAAAACTTTGTAAGGAGCCATAATTCACATACAACACAACAATGTGCTGCATATTGCCTCACATATGTGCTAAGTTAGCTAGTAAGTTAAGGCTGCCACCTTTAACTATCAATTTCCAAAGGCATGTTTCTCAGCTAAGTGTACACAATCCTTTACATATTCTATAACAGATATATCATAGGGCTATCCAATTTCAGATTAAGAAAACTAAAGATAAACTAATATCAGCTAAAACATGATACACTTCAAAAATTCTAATTCTTCCCAAAGGAGAAACTTCGCTTTTCAAAGATACCATAAAAAAATACATGTATGTTTTCACTAATACCTACATTCTGAACCAAAGAAGCTGTCTGAGTAAGACCACGTGGTCTAAAAATATTCCTTTAATAAGTATGTATCAGCAGAAATTTCCCTCTAAAATACTCAATTTTATTGTGAAATGGTACCAAAGATAACAAGTATAGAAACAATCTCTTTGCTCTATGCTACTTAGACATCATAAACAACACAGCTGTTGTTGCAAGACACAATCCTTCACAGTCTTCCTGTAAGCACACAGATTTGTTATTCCTTATCAGAATTATGGCTGTCTACACTTTACATGGTAAAGCATTTTCTGTACTCTTAAATGTGTAGTGGTAAAACACTAAATCTTATAAAAAATGAAGAGTGATTAAGCAGCTTCACAATCAAATTGATTTGATTACCTTGGGAATTGGGCAAATTTTTTGTTCCCTGTAACATGGTCTCCTCCCCCCACTGAAAGAATTAACTATGCAAAAGAAAAGTATAACAAATAGAAAGCAAATAGCCAATACACTACTATTTTTTTATTTCAACTGAAAGAAATAACACTTCCCATGAGGTAAGGCAATTAATTCCATTGCATTAAGTTGTAGTAAAAATAATCTACTCCACTTTAGCTATAATTATGTCTTAGAAGTATGACTTTTCAGAAATCTCATGTAACCAATTAAATTAGTTCAGAGAACACAAGCCATGTTTTTACCTTGACAAAAATATTTCGTCATTCTCTTCTTACATGCTTTCTTCCCAAAAAATGAAAAAAACCTCTACTATGTAAGCCCTGTGTAAATTAAACTTTCTTGCCCAAATTATTTATCCCCCACTGCTTTGCAAACAATTCCTTCTACATCACCCTACAGGTATCAGAGAAGATGATCAAGAGGTAACTATTAAGGCCATCCAAATGTAGATTAAATGTCTTAAGGGCTTTCTTGATGCAGGTGATCAGAACACGTTTTATGTTGAGCTACTACTTTTGTACAGTGGTGGTCTCCACACTGCATTTTTGCTCTCATTTATAAATCTCCTTTAAGAGTAAAAAATAAAAGTAAGATGGAGCTTCAGTATTTTAACAAACGAACCAAACAACCGTTCTGACAAATCACTTGCATCCTTGTCCACAGTACGGTGGTGGCAAAATAGCAAGAGAGATCATATAAGGTTTAGCTGAAAATGTGTAACAGCACATATACATTTCTAGAAAATATCACATTTTAAGAAGGCACTAAAGCTTCTGCTTGTGCTCCCATATTTTTTTAACCAAAGAAAAAAATTATTTCCTTAATGGCACCTGTACTATTTGCAGCTTAACAGACACACTGCAGTACATCTCAAAACAAAGCTGTAAGTTCTGATAATACCATACTGATGTGCTCACTTCTGTAAGGACAAAGAAAACAACAAAACAAACCAATCCTAAAATAACCCAGTAAGCTAACCAAATATCTATAACATGGCAATGTTCCTTACAGGAAAAGAAAAAGAGCATGCATTGTTCAAATACTTTAAAAGAAATATTAATTTTAGGGATATTAGTAAAAAATTCTTTTAAATAATAAACCCGAAGAATCTCAAGCAGTGAGCAAATGAAAAACATACTAATTCTTGGGTATTTAACATAAGGTAAAATTGTGTTTATGTTTAAAACCCCTTTCCCTACAGTTGTCATTTACAAGGAAAGAAGGTGTGTACATTTATGCACCATTTTCAAGCACATCAAACATTACACATTGGGATTTTTTAACCCACAGGGCAAAACAACACAAGTCATCAACAAGCAGTATTTTAAACAACCTTCAATGCATACCTTCAGCTTTTTTGGGGAAGTACAGGTTTACATCTTTCAGTTTCTACTTATTTGTAACAGCTTATAGCAAAACGTAACATACATAATTTTACAAGTACAGCCATCATGGAAATGCATGGATTTTCAGAGATGAATAGTTCTGATGGCATCTGCCTTTTCATGGTATAACGACTGGTCCGTGTTCTCTTGCTTTACAGCAAGAAGACAACAAAGCTATCACAAGAATTGTAGGAACTACTAGTACTATCAATACGGTCAGGTTGATTGCTTTGACATTTTCTTCCTCATTCTGGGAAATAAGATGCTTTGGATTTCATTCCTTAGTTGAATCACAAGTCCATTCTTTGCTTTAAACCTCTTCCATTTTAATTGACAGGCTTTCTTCATTTGGTTGACAGTTCCCATTCTGTTGTAGTTTGACTTCATCTGTTCTTTGTGCATCTCTATTGTCTACTTCCTTGTCAGTTTCTGAATTCTGATCCTCTTTATTGTTATCTTTCTCCTACCAAAGATAAAATAATTTTATAAAAAAATATTTCTTAGCATTATACAATATGACTTCCAACCAGCTCTTGGTAATTTTATTGTCTCAATTTTTACATGCCTATCCTGTCTCTGCAATTTTTAGAACAGAGGGTGTGAACTTCTTTGCCCCTTGTTTTTTTAAAATAAGCTTTCTTTTCAATTGGCTGAAATTAGGCACTCATACCAACCCTTCATCCAAGAAATCACTGCCATAAAGTGATCTGTCTTTATTATCTATATTCTTAAAAAACAGAACAAGCAGCACCTATGAGAAACAGCTCCAGAAATTAAGATTTCACCACATTTTTTTAATAAAACAGGACTACATTTTTTCTTTCCTATTTTTTTAGGTATCTGATGCATTTTAACAGAGTTCTTAGGTAAGATAGTTAAGCTTTGTAGAATGACATAAATCAGCCGTTTTATAACAGTTGTATAATTCTGAGCACAACAAACTACTCTTTAAAGCATGCTGCTATTCAAATTCTAGAATTAAACAGTTTGAAGATGTTTCTTTTCTTAATTGCAGCACCTTCTCTTTTGCAGGAAAAATCCCATATCACTCTTCCCCAACTGTTCAACTCTACTCCTGCAGAATCCAATACACAGACCAGGACCAAGGAAACGAGGGAGATGCTGAACTGCACGGTGGAAGTTTATTTAAATAATGTTTTCAGCTTGACAGTCAAGATGCATCTGAACACTGCTTCTTAGTTACATGGTCTGCCTGCTCACAAAGGTAGGCAGCCAGCCAATTCCTAACATTGGGCACACAACAGGAAAGAGTAACAAAACTAAGTGTGTCTGTACACTCCTACAGGTCCAGTATAGTTCAAACATGGAGACTTACCAACTGGCCCACTCATCCCAACTGCGGGTCTCCAACTAGCAAAAACTAAACCCAAACAGTAATAATTTCATAAGGAAAACAGAAGAAGTAAAAGACGGTCGGATGAAAAGAAAGAAAAGGGAGGGAGGGAATTTCAGTAATGGCTTCACTACCACCACTTTAGTCTGTTGATCACTTGGGTCACACAAGCTTACCTTCAAAGTAGTGGTGCTTTTGTCAGATTTCTCCTTTCCCTCTTTTTCTTTACTACTTTTTTTCTTGGAGGTGGAGCGTTCTCTTTCTCTTCTTTCATTATTTGTATCTCTTTCTCTTTTTTTTTCTTTCTTATTTCTGTTTCAGAAAATTTTTAGTCAAATTAGGATTTGATCCAACTTCAAACTATTTGACTGCTAACTTAAACTCTCTGCTGTGCATTTTAAAAAAAAACTAAAATGTAACAGAAAAACCTTTCATAAAGGCAAGAGGATTTTTTGACTTGAAGAGAACTATAGAGTGTAAAAGTGATCAGTCCACACTGTATTTGCCAAGAAAAAAGCAAATTGATCTCTATCAGATGAAAGGGTTTTATCATTTTGAAGCAAATCTGCATTGCTGATTGATTTGAAACTCTCCCACTGAAAGCATACCAAAGCTAAAATCCATTAAGGTTTTGGGTTGGTTTTAAATTAAAACTGAATCATACTGACTAACTGTAATCATCTGAGATGATTAGTGCAAAGGCAATAAAACAATGAAAATGTTATAAATCCTGCCTTCTTTACTGATCATTAACTTTTATGTTTACATCAAACTGACCTTCTGGGGGAAGGAGTTCGTGAAGACTTTCTTTTTGCTGTTTTCGATGTTTTAGGAGACTTGGAAGGACTTCTACTCTTCCTTTTACGCCTTTCTCTACAGGACCAAGAAATTCAAGATCATCAAACCCCAAAATAATAAACTCAAGAACCAGATAAAAGGAGAAAGCTCATAAATGATCTAACACATCCACTGTGCAAGTATCCCTGAATTTAACATTATAAATCACCAACAATACACAAACTGTACAAAGAAAAAAATATTTCTTATGTGCCAGTTTGGTGGGAAAGGCAAGGGCTTGAAGTAGAAAAAAAGTTTGTACCCTTTCAAATACTATGTTTTTAAATCATCGCATGCTTGCTAACAATGGAAACACACTGAATTCACTAATCCTGTATTAACTAAGAGTTTCCTCAGTCAGGAAAAGAATTCAATTGAATGAAGTGCCATATTAAGACAAAGGCATAACTTGAGTAATATGAAATTCAAAAATGTAACACTACAACCTGAAGATCACTGAAACTTCAGGTTAATCTGACTGAAATTTAATTTATGAATGAAATTTAATACATGACCTAGAATTTATGTTGGGTTAGAAGTAAACCGTTAACAATTAATCCCAAGTTGTTGTCAAAATCAGAATAAATAAGCAAATATTTACTGTTTTTCTAGTGGTCCTTGCTCAGCAAACAGAATGCTATCATTCTACAGCACACAGAAGAGCTTGTATTTTACAGAACAGCTGTTTTACATAGCTGGAGTTTGCTGAAGTTGCCGTTATGGAGTTTGATCCTGAATGGAACAAAATCTTAAATAACTGGTTGCAAACATGAAGAGGCACATGTTGAAGCAAAAACTAATCTAGTAAAGCTTCATTCAACATAAATGCAAAACCTATCTTTGACAAAACAAGATGATTTTCTCCTATTAACTCTTCATACAGCAGGAAAACCAGATTGGAAGAGCCATCAAAGAAAAACAGGAAAGTTAAAAACTAACTTCTAGATATGACACAAAAGCTACACTTATGCATACCAAGTTTTTCAATTCACACCATTAGGTGTGAATATTTAAACCTCTAGTATTTAGAAAAGGCAGGAAATCAACAGTTATTAGATAAATTATGGAAGGACACACTAAGTTATGCCTAGTATCACTACCTGGATTGATACTCTGACATATCATCTACCATGACTGTCCTGGTTTTGGCCAGGACAGAGTTAATTTTCTTTCGAGTAACTGGTACAGTGCTGTGTTTTGGATAATGCTGACAATGCACTGATGTTTTAGTTGCTGTTTACTCTGTATCAAGGATTTTTCAATATCCCATGTTCTGCCAGCAACCAGGTGCACAAGACTCTGGGAGGGAGAGCTGACCCAAACTGGCCAAAGGGATATTCCATACCATAAGGCGGAGCTGGCCAGGCTGGACATCGCTTGGTGGGTGGTGAGTGATTGTGTTGTACATCACTTGTTTGTCTGGGGTTTTATTCCCCTCTCTCTCCTTCCCACGACAGTTATTATTGTTATTATAATTATTATTTTGTTTCAATTACCAAAATGTTCTTTCTCAACCCCTGTGACACAGAGCTGGGCAGAGTGTGAGAAGGTTGAGCAAGGAAGGGGCTGGTGCGGGAACAAAGGAAGTCCAAAAACAACTGTTATGGTTTAACCCCAGATGAGCTCACTACCAGTCTCCCTTCCCCTGCTGGGGCTGGGGAGAACTGTCAGGAAAAAAAGGAAAACTCCAGCATCTACCAGCTGCCAAGAAGGCAATTAACTCTCTCCCAGCCAAAACCAAGACAGGGACCTTCTGAAGCTGCAGAGGAGCAGGTTTCTTAAATATTTTGTTCAATAAGCTTTTAAGTTCAATTTCATCTCTGGTAAACAAAAATTTGAAGTTGCATCAGAATCATGGAGCAAATAACACAATCACTGATCAGCTGTTCACTTGTTAATAAGCATGTCATTTTTCAAATAAGGATACTAGAAACTGATTATTCTCAGTGTTCCAACTTTGGCTACATCAAGTACAACGCTGCTTTATTTTGCTTTCCAGCATACAAGCGAGTAAAAAGTACTTTAGCAATTGTGTTCAAACTAGAAACTGTTTCTTCATGAAATCTAATTTTAATTTTCTGCTTTTCTTATTTCAAGTCGAAGAACTACAATTGTGTCTCACCACATTTGTTCTCATTTCTGTTACATTTGTCTTTAAAAAGATTTTTGTGCACCTGTTTCATTAGTGCTCTTTCACAATACTAATATAGTAAAATTCAGGAAAAAGCAAGTCTGAATACTTCAAGAGTGATACTGTGTCTAATTACTTCCTAATCATACATGGAAGTAACATTCAGCACCTCCTCTGGTACTGCTGGCACTGCTAGCCTGTAAGATGTCAGTTGGAAAGACAGACAGATCCTTCTCTTCCCCTGGTCTGTGTCTCTTCCTTCATCTAGGAATCACAAATAACCATCTTATTTCCAGTACTTACACACTGCCTGTCAGCAAAGCAATGTCAGTTTCCACCTAGTTCCTAAAAAGTTCTGTATGTTCTATTCCACCTTCAACTCTTCTCCAAAAAGATGAGTACTATTTGTCCAATATTTTACACTCATCAGGTAAATGATCAGCAGTCAGTGCTGTACTGAAATGCTAATCTGAAATGCCAATTTGCTGGATAATCTTCTCCAGAACGATCTGTAACCATTTCAACTAGGCAATGTCAATCACTAAAGTAAAGAGATACCTCTAAAAGCAAGCTGTGACTCTGTAACCCAGCCTATTCACAATTACTTTTCAGAGAACAACAGCATAGCTAAGGTTGGAAGAAGCCTCTGAAGATCACTTAGTCCAACTTATCCCTCCCCCACCTTACAACAGGGTCAATCACAAGTAGGTTATTCACGGTCATATCCAGTTGGATTTTTACTGTCTCCATGGATGGAGGACTCTCTGCAACTCCTTGGGGTATCTGGTTCCAGTTTGCCCAGAAAAAACACCATTTAAACATTAGAAAAAAAGCCTTTATTTCCCATACATTAATATGAGCCTACTGCCTCTTAGCCTGTCACAGGCCTCCACAGAGATAACAGGCTCTGTCTTCTTCACACTCTTATAAGGTATACATACACATTGCTCACAACACTGCTGGCCTTCCCGGCTGCAAAGACCTTTGCTGCCAGCCAGCCTTCCAGCCAGTCAGTCCCCACGCTGTACTGGTGCAACAATGTCATTCCTGCCTGGGTGCAGGACTTGTCCTTTCTCTTTGTTCAACTCCATGAGACGACTATCAGTCCATTTTCCCCATCTGCTGAGGTTTCTCTAAATGGCAGAACACTCCTCTGGTGGACTAGCCTCTCCGCACAGTTGGTTCTCTATTGTCTGCAATTTGCTGAGGGTTCAATCTGTCCTGCTATCTATGTCACCAGTAATGATGTTCAATAGTACTGGCCTCAGTATTCATACTCTAAAGACAACGTTATGTCTGAAAAAGAATTGTAAATTCATACTAAAAAGTGTATTTCTCATTCTCCATCTTCAAAAGAAGACTGTCCTTGTGTAGCAATTTGTATAAAAAATATTAACTTCATACCAAAGTAGGGTTCTTTGACTCCACTAGAAGAGATGCACTAATTTTTACTAGAATTCTTTGCTCAATTACTTGGCATTGTAGCCTTCCATAACACTTTCTTAAGTAGTAAGATTCTTAATTTTTGCAGAATTTTTGGTAATATCCAGCTAACTACACTTGCTACTTGACATTAGGAAGCTGGTCTTCCACCAATGTTTTTATATAAGCTACATATTGTGAAAATCTAATTCAACTCCTGAGGTCTACAGACAGAAAATATGTTTTCAAAGCTAACAGAAGCACCTCTACTCTATGTAGGTCTTCAACCCATTAAAACAGGAAGCCGCATATGCTTAAATAAACAGTATTTTGCCCATAAACCTCCAAAACAACATGGACATTTCATATAACACAAACAGAATATTCAGAAAACATTGCACCATCTTTTACCTTCTATGAACCTTGCACTCAAGAATTTTGAGGACTATAGGAATTCTGCTTTTCTTCAGTGAAATTATTATAATTCATAAAACTTTTCCCAATTCATCTAGCATTTCAGGATCTCAAGGTAACAAATATAACTTGTTATTTAAATCTAACAATAGTACTGAATTCCTTAATTCCTGAGGTATCAGAAAGCACCTTATCCACCAAAAATTCTGAACTCAGCTGCAATGCTTTTAGAATATGCATGAGTTTGACCATTTAGGGAGTGATTATAAAATCACAGCCTCCTTTTGCTGTACTGAATGCAACCAGAATTCCAGTTAAGCTTCCCTCAGCTTCCCTCCAACATCTACATTAACTTCATTGTTTTCCTGGTTACTATCAGCAGTGTTAAGGAATGTTTCTTTTAACTTGTACCTGGCCATCCAGTCAGGCACAGGTAAACAAGGTATCCATATCTTCCAACTGAATATTCACCTTGTGAAAGGTTAGCCAGCCAGGTGACATGCCTTGCCTCCTCCACCCAGCCAGGAAGTGGCAAGTACTATCAAACAACTGTTCCCAAGATCTACGGACCAACACCGTGCAGTATGTAAGTGACAAAAGAACTATGTAACAGTGACTCAAACCTTCACCAGGGCAAAGATGATGTGTGATGCTGGTCAGAACTTTCGCCTGTTTGCAACACACAGAAATGGCACAAGAATCACCTGCTTACTGTCCTCAAGGACTATACTGTATGGTTATGTGTAAATGAAGCATTAGCAGCCCAACACGAAACCAGGTTCCATCAGGCATCATACAAAGCTTTTTATAATAGATTTTACTTTACAAGAAAATAAAAAAACGGAAATAATACAAATTTATTTAGTAAGAGACACAGTGATATCAATACATAAAAGTTAGGATGGTGCCTCACTGAACTGACAAGTCAAAAAAAGCACGAAAAATTCTAAACAAACCTGCTGGAGCTACGAGATCTTCTTGAAGAGCTATAGCTTCTTGGGGGTGTTCTGGATCTCTTATCTTTCTTCTTTTTATCATCTCTCTCCTTTTCTCTTTCTCGCTCTTTCTCCTTATCCCCATCTTTTTCCTTTTCTTTGTCCCTGTCCTTCTCTTTGTCCTTATCTCCTTCTTTGTCCTTAATCTTTTCTCTGTCCTTCTCTCCTTCTTTCTCAATATCTTCTTTTTCTTTGTTCTGGTCTACCTCTTCCTTGTCTTTTTCCTTCTCTTTATCTTTTTCCTTTTCCCTATCCTTGTCCCTCTGTCTGTCTTTGTCCTTATCCTTTTCCCTGTCCCTATCTTTCTCTCGGGCTCTCTCTCTATCTTTGCTTCGCTCCTTATCTCTCTCCTTGTCCTTCTCTCTGTTTCTCTCTTTATCTCGCTCTCTTTCCCTGTCTTTTTCTCGGTCCCTATCCTTCTCCTTGTCTCTCTCTTTTTCTTTGACCTTTTCCTTTTCCTTGATCTTTTCTTTGTCTCTTTTCTTGTCCCTGTGAAAAGCCAAACACAAACCCATTAATTCATCTTTGAACTTTCCAATTAAAATTACAACTAACTTTTAGTATACATTAAGACAAAGTTTGCGTCTCTGTTGAAAAATAGTACCTCTTCAATATTTTAATTTTCCACCCTTGTTTACCATGAGGGAAAGGTTATATAGCTAGGATAAATTTGGGAATCAAATTGGAGAAGGGGAGGTCAAAATCAAATCAAACCACTATCTTCCAAGTGATGTTATTATGTTTGGAGAAAGCATGTCTCTTCATCTCACAGTTACGTAATTATACATACATCAATTTTCTATATTTTCTTAGGAGTAAGACAAACTCCACAATCTGTAAATTCACTCTTTACTAGAACTGTGTCCACATAAAATGGGCCTCAGATTAACCACTCCCAAATGAATAAGACAAAAGTCTTTATTCTACGTGTTCTTGTACACAGATATCCTTGAACTGTTTGGAAGTCCAACAACAATAAATACATAGAAATAAAAAGAAAACATGGATAAAATTTCACCAGATTCTCTCAAAACTCAATCAAGACAATTCAATCATCTGTAATGTCATTAGGAATTTGAAAATTATTGAAAAATTGCTAGTACAGCAAAACCAGAAGCAAGGAAAATAGCTTCCGTGGGACAGGCAGAACGATAGACATTCATGAAAAGAATAGTGAGGAAAATTCCAACCCATGTTCTAGTCATCAAGTCAAACATTTACTAGCTCGCAGCTTTGGCTAGAAGATTACATTTAAGTTAGGATTATTTGAAAGTGCAAGACTCCATCTTTCCTCTCTAGCACAGAGACAAAAGAACAATTGTTCACAGAGAGAAGCAGGAAAAAGTACAAGAGGAGAAATTGACTAGCAGGCCTTTACAGGTCAAAAAGAACCAGACTAACAGAAGTTGCTCTGTCTACTGGTATTAGTATCTATTCTAGATTCTTATAGATTCTAAAAGAGACTTCTTCACGCATGAAAGGTCCTAAGTGCAGTCCTCACCTTCTCTCAAACTGAGGAAGTGTTTGACTGTATCTTCTCAACTACTAATAAACAGTAGACTGTTGTATGATCTGACAACTTTGATTCCCATAAGGTTCTGGCAAATATTTCTTTAGGAGTCTCAGAGAAGGAATGCACCATAAAGATAAAACAGCATACAGTCCCTGCAACGCCAAAGAACCTCCCAAGAAGTGCCTTCCAGTTAATTTATCACAGAGATTTCATTGGACTTGCCCCTTCCAGTGAGCAGATGTCTCAAGAAGCTCCAGACAACAAGAGAATCAAAAAGATTCACCAATAAAACCCAGCTTATTTTCAGTGAGGTCCACAGATCTGCAGTTCTTAATTCTCACAAAACTTCTTCCCTCAAAGAACAGTAGGCAACTGCATAACTCAAGTACAAAGCTCCCTTTGAATGTATCAGGGGAATTACAGAGATGAAACAGAAAGAAAGTACCAAGATTTCTAGTCATGAAGCTACTTCCCCAGGCACTTTTGGTTTGAGATTATTCACTACTTCATCCCTCAGAAAATTATGCTATTCTCTCGTTGGAATTTTACAGTTCAATAATAATTAGACAATCAGATATAAAAACTAATAGGTTAGATAAAGTACAGATGTATTACATCCTGAAATATAAATATGCCATATAACAGACATGTGCATTTGTTCCTACTGTTTGGCATATGATAAAGTCAGAGGTGAAAACAAAAGCTCATACACAAAAACTTTTTACTACTTCTCAGAATACAGGACATTGAGGTCAGTTTGAATTCAACCTTCTTAACACATACATATCGAAAAAGCTTCATCCACTTTTTTGTGGCTTACACAAGCTACATAGAATATTCCTAATCTATTGGTTATAGCCTGAATTAAAGTTACCTATTTTCAGTCAGCTGGGATGTTGGTATAAATGTAGGCTATCAAGTTCAGGTACCTCAGTGTGGTTGTTTAACTGCATTACCATACAGGCTACAAGGAAGAAAATTATCCTAGCCAAGATCGCCACACTCAGCATTAAAATTTACTTTCTGTTGTTTGTCCTACAGACAAAATTCCACCTTTTATGATCATCTAAAAGGTTTGTTTAATTTTTTTTCAAAAGCTCTGTACTGTGAGCTAACAGTATCATTTCATGGAACAGAACTCACCGAGAACGAGAGCGACTTCTTGATTTCCGCCTTTCTGAAGATCTAGACCGTTTTTTCAGGGGACTTCTGGATCTGCGTCTGTCCTTGTGTCTTGAGAGAGATCTGTTGCCTGATCTACTTCTATATGAAGGATGCCAGAACAAAAATATTTTAATATTGGAACCTCATAAAAATGGGGTCAACCAACAAAGGAAAGTTTACATAAATCTTGCTTCACCACATACTACTATATAAATAATTACACTTTAGTAACATACTGTCTACAAACATTTTTGCAAATATGTGTGCTTTATGCTTCACCAGATGCACATACTCTTCTTTGAAACAACGAACCATTGAAGTTATACCCATGTTTCATAATAATGTCCATGAACATTCTGGAAAATATAAATTAATATCTATTACAACAGCTGTCCTTACGAAATGACACTGCATAAAAAGATGTGATTTGTGATTTCTAGCCGTTTGTAAAAGTAATTAGTTACAGATTACTTCCTTTCCAGGTCCAGCCACTTACTGAAGTCTTTGTCAGTGAAGAAAGCTGGCTTTGGTTGCATCAGTGTTCTCCACCCTTACAATTTAAATTAATAGAAACCCCAACAACCTGTGATTCAGCATTTAGTCAAGTTACCTTTTTAGTTGAGAGGATCTGTTAGTATGGATTGCAGTTACAAGAATTTCCAGAGAAAGGAAAGAGCGTTTACTACATGATGCATAAGGAATGCAAATAAAGTAGAGATACTCTGATAAAAAAATGCAATTAGTCTTCTGCAGATCTGATGAAGAAAACAACACTTTTAGATTTCCCTATTTTTGGAAAATCGTTTTCCCCAGAAAAGCAAAAATAAAGAGCTGAATCTGCACTTTAAGTTTCACAACTTAGGCAGATTTCGACCTACTCAGAAGACTGGTTCAGAGGGCACCTAGGGAAACAGCCTTTGAAAACAAAGGAGTCCAGGAGCGATGGACGTGCTTCAAGAAACAAGTCTTGAACGCACAGGAGCAGGCTGTCCCAGTGTGCCAAAAGGCAAGCTGGCAGGGAAGATAGCCAACCTGGCTGAATAGGGAGATTCTGAAGGAAATTCGGGGAAAAAAGACAGCTACCAATTACAGAGAAAAGGGCTGGCTACTCAGGAAGAGTTTAGGAATATAGTTAGGTCACGTAGAAAGAAAATTAGAGAGACAAAGGCACAATTTGAACTCAATCTAGCCACTTCTGTTAGGGATAACAAGAAGTACTTCTACAAATACATCAAGAGCAAAAGGAGGGGCAAGGAAAACCTCCAGTTCTTTGTTGGACATGGGGAGGAACATAGTCACTAAAGATGGACCAAAAGGCTGAGGTATTTAACACCTTCTTTGCCTCAGTTTTCAACAGTAAGACAGGTTGTCCTCAGGACAACTGGCCTCTGGAGCTGGTAGACAGTCAGGAAGCTGAACAGCCTCCCTGTAATGCAGGAGGAAACAGCGACCTGCTGAGCCACTTGGACCCCCACAAGTCTGTGGGACCAGATGGGATCCACCCAAGGGTGATGAGGGAGCTGGCGGAAGAGCTCACCAAGCCGCTCTCCATCCTTTACCAACAGTCCTGGCTCACTGGGGAGGTCCCAGATGATTGGAAGCTGGCAAATGTCACGCTGATCCACAAAAAGGGCTGCAAGAAGGAGCCAGGAAACTACAGGCCTGTCAGCCTGACCTCAGTGCCTGGCAAGGTTATGGTGCAGATCATCCTAAGTGCAGTCACACAGCACCTACAGGATGGACACGGGATCAGACCCAGCCAGCATGGGTTTAGGAGGGGCAGGTCCTGTCTGACCAACCTGATCTCCTTTTATGATCGGGTGACCCGCCTGGTGGATGAGGGGAAGGCTGTGGATGTGGTCTGTCTGGACTTCAGCAAAGCCTTTGACACCACCTCCCACAGCACACTCCTGAAAAAGCTGGCAGCCCATGGCTTGGACAGGGACACTCTGTGCTGGGTTAGGAACTGGCTGGAGGGCCGGGCCCAGAGAGTGGTGGTGAATGGAGCTGCATCCAGTTGGCAGCCGGTCACTAGTGGTGTCCCCCAGGGATCGGTGTTGGGCCCAGTTCTGTTTAATATCTTTATTGATGATTTAGATGAGGGGATTGAGTGTACCATTAGCAAATTTGCAGATGATACCAAGTTGGGGGGGGAGTGTTGATCAGCTGGAAGGCAGGAGGGCTCTGCGGAGGGACTTGGACCAGCTGGAGATGGTCAGATTCCAACAGGATGAGGTTCAACAAGGCCAAGTGCCAGGTCCTGCACTTTGGCCACAACAACCCAATGCAGTGCTACAGGCTGGGGACAGAGTGGCTGGAGAGCAGCCAGGCAGAGAGGGACCTGGGAGTTTGGATTAACAGGAAGTGGAACATGAGCCAGCAGTGTGCCCAGGTGGCCAAGAAGGCGAATGGATCCTGGTCTGGATCAGGAACATCGTGGCAACAGAAGCAGGGAAGGTGATTCTTCCCTTGTACTCAGCATTGGTGAGACCACACCTGGAGTACTGTGTCCAGTTCTGGGCCTCTCAGTTTAGGAAGGATATTGAGGTGCTGGAGCAGGTCCAGAGAAGAGCAACAAGGCTGAGGGAGCTGGGGTTGTTTAGCCTGGAGGAGGCTCAGGGGAGACCTCATCACTTTCTACAACTACCTGAAAGAAGGTTGTAGCCAGGTGGGTGTTGGTCTCTTCTCCCAGGCAGAAGGACAAAAGGGTATGGTCTTAAGCTCTGCCAGGGGAGGTTTAGGATGGATATTAGGAAGAAATGTTTTACAGAGGGAGTAATCAGACATTGGAATGGGCTGCCCAGAGAGGTGGTGGATTCACCACCCCTGAAGGTTTCTAAGATGAAACTGGATGTGGCACTTAGTGCCATGGTCTAGCAACCAGGGTGGTGTTGGATCAAGGGTTGGACTTGATGATCTTGGGAGGTCTTTTTCAACCCAGTCAATTCTATGATTCTATACCACATAACTGGATACTCTGCCTGAGAGGTTAAGGTACCATGAAGTTTAACTTATGAAAGACAGAAAGATCACATATATTATCATATGTAATATACACAAAGACAAGGGGAAGTCATTGTTTACCTACAGCTTTGTTCTGCTTATCAACACAGAAAGACCAAACCAAAGGCAGGGCCAATTAATGGCAATTGAATGAAAGCACAAGCTTGAATACATTTTAAGTCACAAGAGATGAAAACAATGTGTTTTATAAAAGAGTAAACAGGGAAGTGGTAAGGATAGATTATTCTTGCACTTCTAAAGCCTGTACTTGTACCATATTTATTTGATAGTACAACTGATTATAACTCCTTCTGGCCAGCTTTTCCGTATGTAAAAGAATCCTAGTTGCCTTGTTAAAAGACATGCATGAAAGGATGCAACAGAGCTACTGCTGCAATAAGGACAACACCTTTTAAAGTGTAAGCTATCAAATGGAATCATTCCAAATTTTTTTTTAAATACTTAACAAAGCCAAATATCTTTAGATTGATGCTCAGAAGACATTCCTGACACTGCAAGGAGATGGATCATTTCAGGAAGTGATTTTTACTCTCCCATAGCAAGACTGTTTTATTCTTGGAAAAAATCTTAATTGGTATACTTCAAGGATGATCTAATAATTCTCTCTTATCCCATATTCCAAAGCCTGAAGTTCTTCAGAACTGAAGAAACTTAGCAATGCAAACAAAATCTGAAGAACGAAAAATTGCCCATAAAGCCTTTTTCCTATGTTTTTAAAAACCACAGCTTTACATTTACAGGATGGTAAATAAAACCATTGTATTTATTAACTCAGTATTTAGAAGTTCAAGACAATATGAATTTTATACTAGCAAAACCAGCCAGCCTATCTGCTCAGGGTGCTACCAGTAAAACTACACACCCAATTCACCAAATGCAAGTTTCTTAAGACAGGTCATAAAATCGTATTATGCTACATACCATAAAATGTACAAAGAAACCACAGAAATTGTTGTTACATGGCATAAAAAGTGTCTCCTAGTGTGTTTTAACTGAAAGTAATCCTGAAAACATTTAGGATTTAGAGGGAAAGGGTATCTGTTCAGAGACAAAGTTCCTGGTAACTCTGGTCTGCTGAGTGCAAGCTAGTAACCTCTTCAGGGATACTCGTCCTATAACTAAGAAACCTCAGTAACCACCATCAAGCAAAATATTCCCAATATTGTCTTAGCCTGAAACAAAAAACATACCTACCTGTGTTTTGAGTGTGATCTTTTCCTTCTAGATCGGGATTTTGAGCTAGACCTGGATTCTGAACGAGAATGGGAACGAGATCGACCGCCTTTTCTTTCACTGCTCTTTCCAGACTCTGAGAGGAAAAAACCACTTTGCAGTGTAAGCTCAGAACATTTAAAGATCCCAGTTAACAATCTGGCACAAGTGGAATGTACCACATGTACTGCAAGGGGCCTACTCTCTGCACATCTTCCTTCTTTGCAAATATCCTTCAGAAACATCCAAGAAAGTCATTGCATATACTCGTTGAGTGCAGCCATCCTGCAGCAGTACACATAAACCAGATAATTATAAACAGCTAGCTCTACTAAGAATGGGATTTATGTTGCTGCCACAAAGCACAAGATCATAACACATCTTCCTCTTGGTCTATTATTTAATTATTTTTTTAAAATAACCTGAGAAGAATAGAGTAAATTTAGAGGGCGTAATTTTAAAAACAAGCATAACATTTAAATAATAATTAGTACTGTCTACACTTTCAGATATTTCAACCACTGTACAAATACAAAAATTTTATTCCTCAAACACTGTTCATGGGAGGAAGGAATGAACAGAACATGGTGAAAAGTCTGATCTGAAAACCAGGAAGTCAACAGAAACCTTAATAGTGATCTCACAATGATTCACACTATAGGAGACTCTTATTCTGTTGCTTAACAGTCAAAAAATGTTAGAGCTATTTTTAATACAACTCTAAAATGCAACAGAAAACACTTCTCCCCAAAAAACCCTCAAGACTCCACCCCATCTAATATGCGTAAGACAACATCTGGGTTTGCTAGTACAAAGAACGGCAAAAAATTGCTGGTGAAAAGAATTAAGATCTCAACAGTAAGTTTAATAAGTTGAGAATTTTTATGCTACGGTTTTGCAATAGTTTAAGCCAGCATAAATCAGCATTGGAATGTCTGTCTAACCTCTCAACACACAAACACCTTCCTCTTTGACTTTGCATCTGTGTCAACAGGGAATAAGGAAACAATCTGGATGAAAACAAGTCTTCTAAAATATGTTAAGTTTTATTCCAGATTCATTCTCTGATCCCATTTGCTATGAGGATGTATCCAGTCTTGAGCCATCATGAAAAAGAGATAAAATTAACCTGCTGCAGATAAGGAAAGCATAATATTACTGCTTTCAGAACCATGCTGATCATTAAACTACGGCACTCATGTGTGCTAGAGGAGAATAAAGCATTTTCTTTTAAAAGTTTCCACATACTCTGAACTTAAAGAGTCAAAGTATCGATTTATAAAATTTTTATTTTTGAAAACATTAACTGAACATGTATGTGAAAAAAACACATGAAATAAAAAGCTTCATTCCACTTCTTTGTTGCATGAATAAAATTTTGATTATTCTCCTATTTTTTACCAACACATACTGAATACCTTTAAGTATCCTCTTCCTGTGTCTGAAAATGCTCTTAAAAGTGTGTGCCAAGGTACATAGAGATTGCATCTGTTAGCTACTGAACACAATATACCTACCTGGCTCAATAGCAGCAGATATGAAAGACTGGGCTTCCCTTACTCTCTTCATCACTTCTTCCAGCTCCTTAGCAGCAGCCTGTGGTGTCATTTCAGGAGGCTTCACTATTGCATTATTAGAGTGATTTATTCTAAGGAAAAATAAAAACATTTAATTCTTAAACACTTGAAAAGTAAAAACAAAAAACATGAAAGAAAAACATCTCATCTTCCATGTAAACTAAAACCTTTAAAGTTCAGCAAAACTACAGATTTGTGCTAATACTCATTTTTTCCAAGTATCTGAAATATCTTTTGTTACTTTCAAATATTACCAATTTTAGAAACAGGTAGCACAATATTTCTCTGTTACAGTATTTTTAGTAGAAGTCTAGGAAGTTATTTCTCCATTTCATATAAAATCTCTATGCTAAGACCTACTAATTACATACGCATCATACGGAAAACTTAGCCCTAAGGACTTTGCAAATTCTTTCACTACTATAGCCTCCACTACCTCAAGATTAATAGATATATATTTTACTCAATGTTACCCATATTATTCTGAGAGAAACTTACGCTAAACCTTGAAATTGGAATTGATAAGAATGTTCCGGTTTGTTAACATTAAGTTCTCATACTGAAAAACAAGTAACAGCATTTTCCTACACATCAGAGTCATAAATGTATATACAAGGATACAAAGAAATCTCTCATTCAGTAGTCATATGGATAACTAATTTCTTACTTCAGTGGCCTGTCTCCAAACATAACTCCATTAAAGGCAAGAGCTCGAGGTACAGAATTTTGGTCAGCAAATTCCACAAAAGCAAATCGTGTTGGCTGAGTCTCATCACCTGCCATTCGCACAAATTTAACTTCTCCAACTTGCTTGAAGAATTCAAGCAGCTGATCTGCTGTTGTAGTCTAAAAAGAGTCAAAAAGTAGAATATATAACAAAACCCACTTATAGAATATACCCGGTAGTCTAAGAGCTACAGATTTTGGAATGATGTCTCACCATTACTACACAGATGGCATGAATTTAGTAATGTTACACTGTAAAAAGAAAAAAAAAGACATGTATTTTTTCTGCCATTAATCTAAAGAATTCATGCTTTATGGTGAACTTGCCACTGGCTGCCGCAAGAGAGGAGCCCTGAAGAGGAGATATAAGGACTCCCTGAAACAACATCTCAGCCTTGGCCATATTGATCTTTATCACTGGTCTACTCTGGCCTCCAATCGGGAGGTCTGGAGACACACAGCTCATAACACTGCTGCTTCCTTTGAGAACACACGCAGGATCACTCTCGAGGAGAAAAGAACGCAGAAAGAACCGTGTCTTGCCGATACCATCCAAGGAGTCTTTCTGCTGTGACTTTTGCAACCAGACTTGTCTATCTCACATTGGCCTCTTTAGCCACCAGCGTGCTTGTAGTAAATGTGGGTAGAGCCCTTCCCAATCTTCGTTCACGAAGCCTAGCCATGATGATGGAATCTAAAGAATATTCTGTGATTTAAAATAGTGCAGCTACAAGCCCTTAGTTCTTCGTCTAGGTTAAAAAAACCACATTTGCACAGGATTTTTCACTTTTCAGGCAACTCATCTGAAATAACTGATGAGGAATTTCCTTATACACCTGTATACAAGCTGATTGTGACTTCTGATCAATTAAAAAAATATCCAAAGAATATTAAAAGACTTAGCTTCATATGGCTTTCTATTATTTTTCAGTTTATCATGATCAGTAGTACTTTTACACTCAGTAGCTACTTCACCAGTCAAAAACCCCCAAAATGTAATACTTAAATTGTTATCAGTCAAAAGTAAGTATTTTTCAATTCATTCAATCAACTGCTGAAAAACCAAGTTGATGACTGAAAGGTATTTATGCTAATTTTCAACTTCCACTAAGACACATCACTCCATCTTACTCCATCTTACTAAGCAACTTCACAGTGCTGTGGGAGACAGCTACCATGATCTCATGACTTCCGAGGCATTGCTAACCTAACACAACCCAACTGGACATTTGATCAGCATGCACAACTGTTAAGTGTGTTTCCTGAATTCAGCTACAGTGTGACTTCTCTGACAGAATGAGTTCCAGAGCCTGGTCTGATCTGATTGGCACAGGAGCATTCAAAATATCATGAATAAGCAACAAAATTTAGGAGGTTTTGCTTAAATTTATGTTGCCTTTTACTGATATAAAATCTTTAACCGTTAAGATTAGAATTCATAAATTACAATTTCACACCTTCCATTAGTATTTCTACAACACAAAAAAACCCAAAAGCTACCTGGGAATTTAAGTTTCCAACATAGACTGTTCTCCTGATTTCATCAATTTTGGATGGATCCACATTTCCCATAATTGGTGGTTGTGGTATTTCTCCCAGTGCTGTAATGTTAGGGTCCAATGCTGCTGCTGGTATAGCCCCTAAAGTGCCAAGTGAAACACCAAGCTGAAAAACACAAAAACAGAATATACTTTCCAACCATGCACTAGTGGGAGACAATTCACTTCTTAATACTTGCCTGCCTTGACCGTTTGTATATAGATAGATCTAATAAAAATAGGCAGTACTTTAAGGTCACAGTACAGCAAGTTTTTTTACAGAACAAAAATATACCCATAAATAGCCTTCTATAGTTAAGATTTGCTGTGGGTTATCAATTAGCATCTTATCAAAGAGCTCTGGACAGGGACCAGTGTATATGTAGTGTATCAATCACAAAACATATAGGCTTCAATTTTTAATGCTTAGATTGAGTAAGATACCTTCAGATACTGCTAATGTTCTTATTTTTTTGACACAACAAGTATTTGGACTAGATGAGAAATGGTCAAGACCTTGCCCAGCAAGGACAGAAGGTAATTTGCAATGCTCAGTGCCGACAGATATCAGTCCATCAAAGGGAAACATAAGGCACCTTTTAGACAAATAAACTACGTAAGTCAAGATTAATTACAGCTGAAATGCAAAGGATATTCAGTCTCTTTCCCTCACTCCTAGAGGAAAATATATCTCTCATGTTTGGAACTGGACATTAAACTCTCTCCCAGGAAACATTAGAAAAAGTCTCTTAAAAATCACTACAAAGTTGGCCCACTGAGTTCCTGGTTTGAATTTTATTTTCTCTACCCAAAAAGCAACTGCCTTTCCCATAAACAAATTTTCTAACTAGCCATGAGTAATTTTTTTTATGTAGCAAAGGAAAAAAACTACTCTATTTTAACTTGAAATTTTCCCTGCAGCTTGCTGATGTCAAGAAAGGCTTACAGAGGCAAAAGGGAATTGAGCAGAAGTAGCAGCATCAAGCTGCTACTCTTTGTAGTGAAAACATTATTAGACAAACAATGAAAAACCTTTCTGTAGAGGTATCAAGTAAAATCTCTCTACTGCAGCAGTTTAATATTCTGAAGAATGGTGTCAATGTAACTATTAGGTTTTAATAAATTTTTAGGAGGTGGATAGCACTTCCACTTGACCAAATAAAAGGCTCTAGGGCAGGACAACAATTAAAATGGACAACCACCAAAACCAATACTTACCCACTCTTTTGCAAAATAATAATCTGAAAGAAAAACCCAGAAACATTGTGCATGGACACCTGATGAATCCTCAGCAAGCCTTTACCACCAAAGCTAAACTCTCACTGCAAAATCCATGGATCAGACAGTTCTTGTTCTCTGCACATAGAAAAGGCTAGAGCACAGAGGAAACGAGAAATTAAACAGCTACTGAATTTTACTTACTGTAGTCAAAGGGGTTGGTGTAGGTATGGGAAGCAATCCTGCACCAGGCATCAGACTTGTCATAGTAGGAGCAGGCGCCAATAGAGAGAGGGCTTTGGCTTCATCTGGGATTTTACCTGAAGAAGCAAATGAAAACATTACACAGAGTTGGAACACTAGACAGATGTTACTCTTTCTATGATTTTACAATTACCCTTGCATTTAAAAATGTAATAAATAACAATGAATCTATCTACCAGATCCTTACAAAGAAACAAATAAGAACTTAAGTTTTTCCTTTTACCCTGCTCTACTAGGAAAAACAAAAGTGAGAAAAATTTCAAAGACTAGCAATCTCATTAATGGATTATTATTTTAAAAACTGAATAATGTATACAATTATTTAACACTTTGAGCTATGGGTCACCTGTACTGGAAACTTAACGTTCATGAACCAAACGATATCAAGCATGGACGCTTTCCCAGGGCGGTGTTTTCGCGGTGATCGAAAGTTGTTTTACACATGACAACCGTTCGTGTTGGCTGCATCACTAATAGCACACAGAACATCAGATACAGAAAAGAAGAACATTTTTTAAAGTTTAATCCCCAGAAATGGCAAATAACCAAATCAGTAAAAGAAAGAAAAACAAAAAAAGAAAAAAACAAGTATGTGCTAACTGAAATTTGCGCTCTTCTTTATTCCTCTGGTGCTACCTACTTAGAATGTAAAAACAAGTAAAACATAAAATAAAAAAACTACTGAACTACAGTGACTGCACACAATACATACTACAAGTGAACCTGAAGGTGGAGGAGGGAAGAGCAGAAAAAATTTAGATTTGTACTGTCCCACATTGTAGGTCACCTCAGTTTATGGGAAACTTTGATAAATTTACTTTAAATTTACTGAGACTGAAGAAAATCATAACTGATCAGCTAAGCAAGCTCTGTTTTCCCAGAATACGTATTCCCTGCTCTTTCAACCTGATTATAATCCTACCGCCATGCTAAAGGTTTAAGTAATAACTAATCCGAATTAAACGCAGGTTTCATTCAATGTCAGTCACAATTAGACTATTAAATGAACCCCAAAAATCTCCAAAAATCAAAAGATTTAATAGTCAAACAATTAGGATTACAATTAAATGTACATTTTAAATTTGAAATGCAAAGGGATTTAAACTGGTACAAACATTAAACACTAAAATAAAAACCTACCAAAAGAAGTTCTAATTATACTAGGTATCTATGATCTGTTCAACATTACTGGCATAACTGTACATTTGCTAACCAGCTAAGCCCTTTGGTATTACCACATGAACCATAATAAAGTAAATGCTCTTATTTAAACATTGTTCTAATGTTTAAATGGTCAAGGAACATACAAAAGCTGTGCCAGTGGCTTTTACTGCTTTGATTCAAACTACGTATGTTTTAACTTACAAGACCTCTAAATTAAAAATTAAAATACAAATATTCTTATCAAAAAGCAAAACATGAGGTATGTTTCAAAACACCACGCAGTTTTAGCTACATGAGTTCCAACTGACCCCATGGAAACATACTACTTTAAAAAATGAAATTAAAAAACTTTTGCAAACCTATTTTACAGATCTGCAGGAAAGACTGGGTAACAGTTGGATATGACCAAAGGACAAAAAAAATCTAAATGAAATTGAATTTGTATGTAGCATGGGTAGAACAGAAAAGATAAAGTAACAGTACCCATTTAATTTCATGCTTCCTATTTACATTTATTTTATTTATGTTAAATTTTGAGACACTTTCCTCCTTAACATGTAAGAAACTACTCGATTTTGCTATCTAAAGGAGAAAAATAGGAAAATTGTTAGCACTTAAGAATTAACTGTGCAGTAATGAATTCCAGGGCTTTTTTTAAAAAACATGCATGAATCTAAGCCACCATCACAATGTTCAGCACCCTTCACAGATCTCATTTTGAAGTCAGGCATGCAATGAGAGGTGTACCTGACTGCTCAAAAGTATCATGTACTTTGCTGCATACCCTGCCTAATATGCTGCCAACTAAAAGGCTTTTGAATATATAGTTCCAGCAGCTGTGCATGCAAATTAGGCACAGAATTATGTACCAATTCTGCTGACAAACTAAATACTTAAGTGCTTTCAAATGACTAGTGAACCAGAATTTATCCTGAACAGTGAATATCTTGCAATTTGTGCAGCTTTCTACGGATCGAGAGATATTGCACAAGTAAATCCGATGGCAGACGTGGCTCCTAAAGTGGTGTGTCTGCATGCTAATTGAGATCCTTGGTCAGTAATGTACATAAGCATATGCCTAATTCAAGCATGCACTTACATACAGCCAATTCAACACACACTTAATCAGGTAAACTTACAATATGCTTAGGCACTTAGCCTTTTTAAACAGGAATTGGGTTAGGCACATAACTAAGAAGGACAATGAGCCAAGACTTAAACAGAAGCCTAAACTTTAAGTATATGCATCATGGCATTGAAATAATTGGAACTACTAATTTGCTCAAGTGTTTTTAAAGGAATCCACTGAACATTTCAGTTCCATTCATCATTATAGCAGCTCAAAGAATGAACAGCATGCATATGTAAATTGTAAAGTTTGCAGCATTATTTCCAGAATACTTTGGTTTTTAACAATGTAAAGTTTTAAAATACAAAATCTAGTCCATCAGTTCAATACCACAAAAAAAGATTATTCATTTTGTTTTCAAGAAAGATAAAGGGTCTATCTCTACAGACATAACCCAAAAATTTGCCTGGATATTCAAAGATAGTGTCTTTTCAAATATCTTTTCCAGTTTTTAAGACCAGCCCAAAATTCTATGGAACACTGTTGTGGGGAAATAAAAATCTGCAATGTCTTAGAAACCTACTTCCCCGTTTTTTAAACGGTTTTAAAAAACAAATTAATATGCGTGACCAAATACCCTCACGAGTATTTTGGAATTTTATCTCTGTGAATTTATTTATAAAAGGAATACAAGCTCACAAAAATACAATAAAACGTGGGGTTTGACACAACAGATTAGTATAATTTAGTTTAAAAATAACACTTTCATTTTTAAAACATGGTATTTAAAACCTGAATGGAAATGAGGTGAAGATATTTACTTTCTAATGAGGGAAACAGACAATATAAATATGCCACATCTACACTCCATTTCTTAGAAGCTCTTCTGCTTAGTAAATTACGATTTCTATGATCAATTATTTATTGATTCTTCACTTTGCAAAGGAATCTGGAAGCAAATGTAGATTAGCTCACCACTGCCTATAAACAGTTGTGATTGCTACTTTTTTGTATCATCGAAGTCTTAAGAGCCGTAGTAAGCCTAGTCCATACCAGAACCCATTTTGATGGAGGCTGAATAGAAGTACCTGCATTAAACAAGTACTAATCACAGTATTTATTCCTCAAGTGCTCAGAAAAAATTAATTTCCTACTCTTTGTAGTGAAACTACACAGTTAATCCTCACCCCCAAAAATGCGTCTGCAATAAGTTTGTTTTTTAAAAATACTGCTCACAACTACTCTAAACATAATAGTAGTTATTTTCCTTCTATTTTAAATCAATGGAATGTGTACACTTACAAATAAAATACTTCATGTGATCCAACTCATGAATCTTAGTGGATTTAGCAGCAGCAAATAAAGACATGACAGCTACTGGCAATTACCTCAACTGCCAAATCCAATAAAAATCATCAAGCAAAGCTCTTTTCAGAGTGAAACCAACAGATTCCAATGCAGCTGGCTGGGAAGAGCAATGCCTGAAGACTAGACACAGCACCTTGTTCACCACTTCTGTTTCAGGGCTCCCATTTCACAGGAAGTGAAAACATCATTTAGGGATGAGAACCATCTCAATCACTCCAGCATGAACTGCCAGGGCTTCTGAGACTGTGAGATGATGGAGAAAACACTTTTTTTTCTGACTTTTCCTTTTTTAAACCTCTTCTTCAAATAATTACCACTGCAGCATGTCAAAAATGCAAGTATAAACACACATACGCGCACACACACAGAGAACTGATTCAATCTTCTCACAAATAACAGTGTTTAAAGACAACGTGTCTCACGTAACACATTCCAACCAAAATTCCAGGCTGCATTTGTACTTATGAGTGGTAAACAGTCTTTTCTGAAAATTACAAGAAAAGGATGAAATCCTCCTGTCACTGACCTCACTGCAGCAAGGTTTCATCAAAAGTAAACAAATATTTCACGACATTCAATATTCATAAAAGTTGTTTCAGAAATAATTATTTTAAGCTCATCACATTAGACATAAATAATCAGCCTTCTTTTAAATAGACAGTGCAACCTAAAATAAAACACTCTGCTGAGGAAAATAGCAGAGAAATATCATGACTTTACTTTCTAAAGTTGGTTTCTCCAGAAGCATGAGTCTCAACTGTCCTTTTCCAAGAAGAACTCATAAAACACAACATATGAAAGAATGTATCTCAAAACTGTTCCTGCCTTCTGACACGATGTGCTCATCTGTTGAATTTAGATGCTTAAATGTATTCTAAATCAAATTTATCCTTAATTCACAGCATTGAAGATGAATCATATTCTAAATTCTCTGTATACCATCCACCATTCATAAGCAGCTTCAGGTCAACTTCAAGATCAAACACTGTGAACCCTTTACAAACATCATTTTTACAGAACTGAAGTACCAGTTCACAAGTACAAGGGAAAGAGATTTAACAGAACAAAACAAAAAAGGGACAAAATAAAATAAAAATAAAAGAAACAAAGGAAAGAAATCAAAATAAAATAAAAACAGAGACAGGGCGTCCATCTTCAGCAGGCCAGACTTCGATCTCATTTCCCCCATGAAGGTTTCACTTGGCGGCAGGTTTAGTGGCATGGCAAACAATGCCTAACTCAGGCAAGTGTAACAGGTCTGCCTTGGCCAGTCTAGTCATCTAATAATGCACAAATATCACACAGAGAAAACATACAAAACCAAATTAATAGTCAAAATCCATCTACCAGATAATGTGGACATAAAATTTAGAATGATTAGGGTGGCATCTTTGTTTAGCTTTCAACCTTTGCGTTTTCAAAGTATATTTAAAGAAAAACCTACCAATACACACACAAAAAAGTCATATTTTAACATCTTAGTAATCTTACTTCACTTACAATTACATTTTTGTTAAATCATTATACTAAATGTCATATAATTAAGACTGATTTTCATTCTGTAGTGATTCCCTCCTCATACACCCTTGATTTACCACTGTTTAAATACATTCCCAATTTCAGATTTTATTCTCTTTTAAAAAACTGGGTTTTCAGAGTTCATTTCACCTCTCTCTTATGTTCAACTTGGCACATGAAATGTTTTATTACTGGCACTGTTGGACAATTACATAATTTTACCTCCTGGCAGAATAAAGCCATCACTACTTTTAAAGCCCATGATCCACTCCACTGACTCCATTAACAATGCATCATATGACACATATTGAATCAAAAACCTTGAGCTGTGGTCTCCAAAGTCATATTTATTCCACACAATAAATTAATCAGAAAGTTAAATCTGTATAATTCACATCTTTTTATAAATGCTTATAATAAAAAGTTACATGAAAACAGCATTCTGACATTAAAAAAAGAAGTTACCTCAAACCCCAATCACTTGTTCACCTAATTATACATACATTTCTGTGGAGTCTAGAATGATTTTGAAGAGTGACATTTTAATACAGTTTCTCAGAAACACCTAATAAGTCAGTTACAAATAAGAGTCGGAACAAGATTTGTCAGAACTTTGATTTTTTTCTCCTTCCACTCATTGTCTACCACCAACAGACAGGAAAAACGTAGCTTTACCTGCCTGTTGCCATATCATGTCAGGCAGTGATATCATCAGAAGAAAAACACCAGGAGGTGTGTTCACTCATTAGGCAACAATCTTCCCTCTCTGGAAGTACTGAACCAGTGTTAACCTCTTTTTGACAAAATGTAAAACTAAGACCCTGAATAAACCTTAGTCAATGTATTTAGGGGCAATTTTCCAACTGGGGACTCTGATCCCCTTAGCCTATACACAGTTGCAAGTGGATACAGCCATATTCTCTTTGTGGTTTTAGAACAAGTTCAAAATATGAAACCAAAAAGGCCCCAAAACAAGGCACAGAAGCAACTAAAAATCTAGGCTTTACAAAGACAAATGTGCAATATGCCCCTAGTAAGAAGGCTACAAGAACAGGCAGGTCAGTTGTAGGTCAATATGGCCTTTAGTGAAAAGTACTTGGAGGGTTTCTGAAATTTTGAAGACCTGGTAGAGTTTGCTAAGAAAATCCCAGATGATTATTACAGCAGCACTTATCTCACACTATCTAGACCATGATGTGGCAAACATGCCGAAAAACAGTACTCTGGGACCATCGTTAACAAACTCCAGGAAGTTAACAGTATTTTTTTGAACTCTTGCAGTTAGAGATGTATAAGGGGTATTTCTGGACTTGCTGCAGTTCATGGTTCAATCACTATACATATTGTTCATGGCAAAGCTACCAGGTTGAAAGTGAAGTCAGGTTCACTCCATCAGCTGGAATGATTCCACTCCAAAGAGGCAAAAGGGTCAGAGCTAAACAGATGTTCGATTACACAATGATCCCAATGAAGTCAATGGGGCTCTGCCTAACTCCAACAAAAACGCCTACCTTAGGACCATGCTTCAGGTAACTGTATTCAGATCTAGGATACTATACTAACAATACAAGCTGTCTTGTATTCAATATATCCATAAAAGTGTGGCCTCACAGCTAGGTAAAGGAACATTTGCCAATTTAGTATTCATCAAGCATTTTGTTTTTTTAAGAGTTTTTAAAAGCATTTTATGATGGAAGCATTCTGTACAGATCACTGCTTATTTAAGGAGATATCTAAAACCAAAGAGAAGTATTGCTATAGATAAGAAAAGCTTTATGACACATAAAGTAACATTTTCAACTGTAACATGAAAGAAAAATTCCTTTTAAAAAATAAAGCTAACAGGTAAACATTTCTATTCAAAAGTAACTATCACCATGAATGCTAAATATTTTAGTTTAGATGACTCTAAAATGGCCAAATCCATATATTGCACGTCTACAAGAGAAAATTGGGATGTACTCTTAAACAATGCAAAAATAATCATTGTCTTAAAAAAAAAATCACAAGTCAACAAAAAATCCACTACATCAAAGGTGATACATTAAGATTCAAACTGCAATGTTATTGTGTCAGGAAATTGGCTGATCTTTTCAGAGCTCCATTGACTTCAGTGAGCACTCTGTGTAAGAATAACCTTGCCAACACAAACCACAGGGAATTATTTTACTTTTTTTCCCCTCAAAATATGTGATGATTATGGAAAACCGAATTATAATTTAAATCAACTACCTTATTGCTAATGCTGAATTTCAATTAAATCTGTATCATTGGGTTTCCTCATTCCATTTTCAATTTTGATTCAAGACTTTTCTCTCAAAAAGCAATAAAATAAAACAAAAGAACAACAGAGCACCACCTTTTTACATGGAAAGCTTAAAACACTGAACAGACACAACAAAGACCAACAGTACAAAAGAATGTCTAAAATACCAACCTTCTGCGCAGGGAACAACTATCAAAGCTCTGTCAATAAAAACCGTGTTAGTTAGATGCTGGGCCACACCAACACTTGATGCTTCGCGAAACTTAATATAACATACTTTGGAGGAAAAAGCAAGAGGTGCGTTGCTGCAAGATAAAACGAAAAAAACCCAATTACTCATATTAAAAAACTGCATGTACATATTTTTAACTATTACTTCTTAATAAAAAAGGTTTTAGACTAGATGAGTTGCTGCAAGATAAAAGGGAAAAAAAAACCCAATCAGTCATATTAAATAATTGCTTGCATGTATTTTTAACTATTACTCCTTAAGGAAAAAAAAGGTTTTACACTTCCTAGAAGAGTTAGTCATAAGAGTCTAGAAATCTACTAATTTGCCTACTTACTATGTCACTGAAAGAAGCATAGTGTAGCACCTCCTTCTTTTTAATGAAAATTCATGAAACCAAAATCACTAATCAAAAAGGCTAATTTTCTTTTATAATCTTGGCACACAACACTGAATAGTAGTTCCAACTTACTGTTTTAAGTAGCATATTTACTTGATGCATTTGTCAAGTAATAATTTATAGTTTATCTTTTTTTCTCCAAATAAACCTTGTTGAGGAAAGCCAAACAACAAACCCTGCCATTTTTCAGTGGGTCCTTCAGATACTAGCCTGTAATAACTAATATTTTTTCTTCGGTTTTCATAAAAGCTGTTTTATTAATTCTTATTAAAATAAAAGTAGTTATTGAGAGTTCTTTCAAATACTGGGTCTTAGTTGACTAATATAACAAAATTCCTTTTTATCATCTGCCTTAGTCTGGCATATTGTAGCTCGACGTAACACTGGATGAGGGAGGAGCAACTCATCATTTGGCTACAAAAAGGAAGAAAATTTGTAATTTGCTTTTCCATTAAGCAGTATACCAACTGAGAACATGTAAACATTGAAATCTTGATCAAAACCACAGAAGTTTGCTTTAAAAATGGATTCCCTAGTCAAGGTTTGTGACCTTTATATGAGCAGCTTATTTCTTCACATGAAGGAAGTACAATGAAATTTTTAAAGAGAGAATGCAACAGGATATTGCTGAAATATTAGCAATTTCCATTTGAAAAGACCATTTGCCTTCTAGCAAAGCAGAAACTTAGGGAAAATGCACTGCATAAACTGTTTCACCCGGGTCCTGCCTCAACCCAAACCGAAAAACTCGTCAACTTTCTGGAAGTACCAGCAGCAGTTCAAGTTTAACTCAACCCATTTTGTAGTTCCCTCAAATTCCAAAGCAGGTACTTCCAAAGTTATTCTATGAAATTAATTAGATTTCAATATTTAAATATAAATTTAAAAGTTTTAGACATATTATTTCATCATATTAATTGCAAAAAATAAACTGGGAACTTCAGAGGCAGGCAGACTATATGTTTCACAGACAGTATGTTTCTGGTTACCAGAACAGTAGAATCTAGGTAAAATATCTAAAGAGATGGTCAAATTCAGAACTGCATTTAGAAACACTTATGATGGACACTGAGGAGGAAAAACTAAACAGGGCGTGGGAGAGACAAACATGAAAGCCTCATACAGTTTAGAAAAACATTACAAGATGACCACATTTCTTCTACCCACTTTGTCTGTAGTGGCCAATGTTTTCACAGTTTCAAGTTTCCACATTCAGGAAAGAAAAAATTGCATAGAAAGGCTTCTGAGCCAGCTGTAGGGTCTTTGTTAGATCAGTTTCCAACATCAGAAATTACAGTCAGCTATGACTTTTTTAGCACTCAACAGAAACTTTGTTGAGCAAAACGACTTTTAATGGCCAAAAGATTTTATTTGGTTTGGTTTGCTGGGGGAGGGGAACCCAAGGTGGGCAGGAGGAGAGGGTGTTGGAGGGGGTGTTTTGGGTTTTTCTGTTGTCATTGTTTGCTGTTTGTTTGTTTCTTCATAAATACACATGTCAGCGTTACAAGTCAAATGGTTGAAGCCTTCACTGAAGGTTCTGTAGTCCACACTGTTGAAAAACCATAGAATCAACTGGGTTGGAAAAGACCTCCCAAGATCAAGTCCAACCCCTGATCTAACACCACCACTGTGGTTACTAGACCATGGCACTAAGTGCCACATCCAGTCTCATCTTAGAAACCTCCAGGGATGGTGAATCCATCACCTCCCTGGGCAGCCCATTCCAATGTCTGATTACTCCCTCTGTAAAAAATTTCTTCCTAATATCCAACCTAAACCTCCCCTGGCAGAGCTTAAGACTTCTGATGTCTCCCAGGTTCTTCTACATTTTTGTTTTCATTGCCAACTCAGGAACATAATTCTG